AATTTAGTCCTTTAACTTTTAGATTTATATTAAAATTATCTTTTAACTTTAAAAAATATCAAATTATCCTTAAATTTTAATTTTTAATATCAAAAAAGTTTTTACGTCAACAGAAGTGTTATAAAATTCATTATTTTATCATAAAATTAGTTTTTAAATATTAATGACATATAAAATTAAATAGTCATATTTTATCAATATATTTCTATTTACAAATCAAATTAATACATAATTAAAATTGAAAAACCAAATTAGTATTTATAATCAAAGTTCAAGAACTAAGTTGATATTTGTCTTCAAAGTTTAGGAACTAAATTGGTATTATTTTTAAAGTTTGAGAACTATTTTGGTATAAAAAAATTAAAGTCTAAGGATAATTTTGATATAAATCTAAAAATTGAGGGATTAAATTGGTATTTTAACCATAGCAATAAGAAACAAAATGAGTGATTACATGGCACCCACGTGGTGCGTGTGGTGCTGCATGGCAGCACAATTGGGTGTGGTATGCGTGCAGCACCGCAGCACCCGATTTCTGATTTGGGGGTTGACTAGTAGTATCAACACCTTTTGAGTAATTAAATAAAATATTATAAAATAATGTTGATTAAATCAAATTGGGGTTAAAGGCTATATCTAAAATTTTATAATTTATTCTGGATTTTAGCTTATTATTATTCGATGTAAATTTTAAGTTCTTGACTGTTGTGCATTTTGAATTAAATTAGGATTTTCTTTATATTTGAGATAAGTAGATTTTTTATTATACCTTAATTTTAAAATATAATTTTAAAGCATAATTTCTATTATTTTTGAGATGGTAGTGAGATTAAAAACCCTTTTGTTTAATTATATGATTAAACCTTGTTTTAATTTAAGATGGATTTTATATGTTTAAGCATGTCTATTTATGGAAAGTCCCTAACACATGCTACTTGATTCTTGAGATACCTTGTTTTTTTTAAAACAAGCATGTTTACTCTGAATATACTTGTTAACCTGGTTCAATCTTCGATATAGTCATGTCTATACTTATTGCCCACTAGTGAGATATTTATAAATACGAGCATATGTAGATATGTTACTTGCGAAATCGGTTCATTTTTGTTTTATTTGTTATCCTATTAGTGGGATCGTACACTAATAATCTTATGCCTACTAGTGGAAGGTCTATAAATGTTGGCCATGACTTGGAGAGGAGACATCTATTTCACTATCTGTACTTGTGCCTAATTTATGTGATCTTGGTTGGCATGCTTAAATAAAAATAAAAGGGGAATCGAATATTCACTTACTAGAATTATATCTCTTTTTTTTTTTTTTTCCTTGTCTACTATTTCAGGTAATAATGCTAGAGACATTGGGGATCTAAGTGTGTGATGGTTTCTTATTAGATTTGGTATGGACTTAGTTGAGACTTGATTTAGTTCTAGACTTATCTTTAGATATTAGAAAGTTGAAGGACCTATTTAGCAATCATTGCATAACATGACTTAAAAATATTCCTTTGATATTATTTGACTTTTAATAATATTTAAGATATTTTCACACTTTAGTTGTTAAATTTGGCCTTACATAATAAATTAACTCAATTTTGAACCTTATGCACTTGTGGGTTCCACTCACAAATATACAGTATCTACTCTACTCCAAGGTTGAAGGCGTGGGTTTGGGATGTGATGGAACCAATCGAGTTAGGTGAGACTTAAACTCTCAATCACCTTGAAAGAAAGCACCTAAGATCTAGATAGCTGAGCTATCTAGATGGAACCTAGGTAATGTTTGATGAACTTGAGTCCTTTACCTAAGATTGGAACTTGATGACTAAGGATAATAGTAATGAGATACATGTTAAACTCGTCATAAGTCAAGATAAACATGCACTCAAATGAGGGACACATTTGTGTTGGCTCTATTGAGGTACTATTATCCTTCAATGGGTGGGCCATGTTTGATATGACTTGACGAGTCTGATTCCAACATATGTATAAACCTAACAAGTTTCTGGGCCATGTTTGATCTGACTTAACGAGTCTGATCCCAACATATGTATAAACCTAACAAGTTTTTGTCGGCTAATTAGATGTCACCCTACCAATATGTAAATAGGATTTTAGCACAGATCCCAAAGGAGATTTCAAATTTCAAATTTCAAATTTCAAATTTCTTTCCTTTCTTCCTCTCTTTCACTTGAAACCTTTTTCATCAAAATCCAATCTAACTTGAGTATCAGAGGCCGTACGCCAAAAAAATCTTTGGCA